TCCAGTGAATGCTTTAAAAAAATTGTTCACATTAAAAAAAAAAAAAAAAATCATACAGAAGGCACTCTTAAGAACAAAATGCACTAGCAGAGATTGAGAGCTTTCGACCTATGGGATTACGATTTAAAAACGTTTGCTGATTGTAAAATGTCCTGACATTGCTGACACACTCATAGAAACATTAGAATAGCATTCCAATTAGAAATAGTTTTGTTTTATATCCTGTATTTATCTACCCTTAAATTCTTTCAAGCTTTTTAAAAAACAGGATCCCAAATTCTTAGCAGGATGTTTAAATATGTAAACAGGCTTGCTTGTAATTTATAACATTTAACATTAGAAATACTTACACCAGAGCAGGAAACAGACTCAGACTCTTATAAGGAAATAGAGTCCTGAATGTAAGACTTGACAGATTACAGTAAATAAAAAAGCTATTTTTATATGCTTAATTTGCTTGCATTTTTTATTCTGATCTGAATGAGATATTAATATATTGGTTTCACAAAAGCTTTAGTTTAATTCATTCATTGTGACTGTTTCGTCCTATCACGTTTTAATATTGTTCATTGGGTCACAATTGTTTTTTGTGGAAGTGATTGACACAGGAAGTACTTCAGGTAAGAAATAGGCAACAGAAGCCAATGATTTAGTAGAAATCCTTTCCATGTAAGTAATCACAATTCTTTTTTAAGAAATACTGAAAATAAATATATGTAGAAATATTTGAATGTGTCCCAAAAGTCATTAACTACTATTTAGAAGTTATAGCTGGAAGTTTTTTATTTAAAACATTTTTACAGTGTGTAAGGGTATTGCTTTTACAATTGAATTAGTAAATTACTAAGTATGCTTGGCCTGCTTCATTGGTTTCACAAATTCTTGAAGCTGTACATAGCAGTTAATGAGACACTGTCAAATAAAGGCCTCTGTTGTTTGATCTGTTTGCAGTTTGGGTTGCATCTCTTACTTAAAACCCATCATGTAATTGGCACAATTATTTTTAGTGACTTTAGGCCTCATGAAATATATTGACAGAGGATTTCACTTTGTAGAGCTATCTGCTGAATAAGTGCAACACACATAGATGGCGTAAGCCCTCCTATGTGCCTCAATCCTCCCCTGGGTTGTTTTTTCTAAGGCAGAAGTTCCCAAACTTTTGTTATTACGTACCCCTTCCGGATCTACCAGCTGTCTGCATACCTCTAGCCTTTTCATCACTGGTAATTTGTGTTCTAAACACTACCTGTCTTTAGCCATCTGTCCATATTTCACTGTTCTCTTTGGTACATCTTGGAGTAAATCAACTACTGTATTTTATATAACAAATTCCCACAGTGTTAAAGCTTTGACTCGTTTATTATGAAAATGCAAGAAATAAAATAATAAATCCACCATTGCACAATTTCTCCCACGTATCCTCAGAGGTTTGCATACCACTGTTTGGAAACCTCTGTTCTAGGGGGGATGAAAGAGTAGTTGAGTCTCTGCCTGTTGAATCCTTGGCCATTGTCACCTAGGGTAAAGGCGGTATACCAATCCACTAGGAACTACACAGACTACCAATTTAGAGTTAATAGGCCACTGAACAGCTGTAAGGATATAAACAGTACTAAGCCTATCGAGGTTTAAGATAGTAATTTAGAATTGAAGGATTCACATGCAGTTACCAATGTTCATATACTTCCACTCTTTCTCCCTCTGTGAAGACAGTGACTTAAAGTTTTTCCCATGGAATCTACACAAGTAAACTACTAAAACTTGTTTCTGTAGAAGAGCTGTCTGTTTGTTGCATCAACTTATAAAAGCCATGGTGATTTCAGGTCCTCTAGAAAGGTTCAGGTATTGGGGAGAAAATCAGTGTTCAAATAGAAAAGGACAAAATCAATAGGGGAAAAATATTATGGCTCTGAAAGGGTAGTAAACAGTGATGTTTAAAACCAAAATTAAACTTTAATAATTTTCCTCTTAAATTTGGGCATCTATTATAGATTTTTCCAGACATTCAAATCAATGCTGTTTTTCACCCTTTTGACGAAAAAGTGAAATTCTGAGACTGTGCTGAATAGATGTGCAATCCTGTTTGAAAATATATTTGCTACAAATGTTTTAAAGAATTTGATTAACTGTGGGAAATTTTCCCTAGGCAAGTAAACATTTTAAACATTTATTATATGCTTTACAGTAAGTAATCAATAAAAATACGCTTTGCATACAAATACAAAATATCTGTACAAACTGATGTGTTTGAGATACAGAAATGCAAACAATATCAAAAGTTATTAGCATTCCTAATGTGTGTCCCTGGCAATAATGTCTGTGCAAATTTAAGACAATTTCACCTGTGGACAATTTAGAAGCAGGAAATGGAAGCAGATTTTCCAAGTGTCCTTTGTTTAGTCATTTTGCAATGATTCTTAGTCCTTAGATGCCAAAAGCAGTCCATGAACTACCATTGCATGGATTTCTCTGTTAGTTGCTTTGTGCTGTTAAAAATAGTACGGAGCATCATTAAGAAGAGTTGCTAGTGGCTGAAGGTGGGATCAGGTTATGAAAATTATTTGACTTTAATTACATTTTTAAAAAAATCTAGGCCACATTGTTCTTGCCTATTGGGTAAATAGATGTCTATAAGAACTGTAATACACATAGGTAAAAAAGGAAATCGCTTTAAAGTTACTTTAAAAATCCTGACCATGATGCTGACAGTTCAGCTTTTTTATTTTTGTGTTTTTGGGTGGGGGAGGGGGGGAGGGTGTCTTTGTGTTTTGTTTTTGATAAACATTTATTTGGGCCATTAAGCAGGCCAGTCAGGTTTTCTGAAGAGCTGTGGAATTACAAATTAAACTGTTGAATCTTTATATTAAAGTGTAATGTACTTAATGTTCTTTGGGGAAACAGTTTATGAATATTTTGGGTCACAATAAAACACTAGAATTACACTGTCTTGAGATCCATAGGTACATATCTTAATGGTAGTTCTAAGACGTTGTTCCAGTTAACACTCTCAAACCGTATTTGCCAGTTCGGTATGTTGTTGGTATATAGCAGTTCTCAAATGGATCATCTTCAAGGCTGACTTCTCCCTGAAAGGGAAGGGGTCATTTGAAATAGAAGTTCCTTTTCCTGTAGAGTTAGTTCTTCAGTTAAACACAAACCTCAATCAAAAGTCTGTATTTGTTGAACTGGCTGTCGTCACTTCAGCCATATTTGCTTTGTTTAGACTTGGCCAAAACTGCTGGCTCATATTTCCTGAGATTTTAAAATATCTTCCACCTGAATATAAAATATCCCCATCTTTTATACCTTATTTCACTTTATCAAGTTTCTGAGATGCCTATGGTCAAAATGACATCAGTTGAGAATCCTGTTGAGTTCTAGGGTGTTCTGTAGCCAGTTGCTTTTTTATATCTGCATGTTTGCTGAACAGCATTTTTATTTTATGGCATTATAGGAGTAGTTTAAAAGATTATGGGTATGCAACCACTTCAAACCTTGTATTTATATGTTTAAGTGTAATGTTGAAAGATTGAGATCTTGCTCATTATCCTCTCATGGTTTTGCTCTGCTATTCCCTGTACTAAATTCAGCTATTTTTGAGCTTGAATAGATATCACTAGGTGGCGATATTGTCTAGATTTAAACAGCATTATAAAAGAGCAAACTAAATGGGATTAAATAGGTTAGTGGAGAATTGTTATTTCCAGTTTGGTAGGGATATAAACAGTGACCATGTGGTGTTGTCTTGTAGTTTCCTATTGCATTGATTTAACATTAAATTATAAAATTATTGTTGGCCAAAAAAGGGATTTGAAAAGGCACCATATCTGAATCTAATTTTGTTTTAATGGTTACAATTTTAGTTACTTTCTGTCTGTAAAAGAGAATGCTTTGTGTATCCTTTACAAGACAGCCTTAAGTGTGGTGTGTGTGATATTTAACTTAAAATCCATAAAATGGGAACACAATTTGGTATGCTAATTTTAATAAAACTCTATTTAGCTCACAAGGAAAATACAGTCTAAATCAGGTAAACTAATTGTTAGTATGAACTGATCGCTCAAAAGACCTGTTAGCAGCTGAGAATGCCCTTAGATGGAAGGGGCCAGAAATTGCTGCTTATGGCAAATAACACTTAATTGTAACCTAATAAATATATTTAAATAATAGTGGTTAACTCTGATCTCTTTGACTGAAGTCTTAGATGATATTCACGTAACTCTTTAAAGTGTGTTATGCCCCTTTGAATTCCAGTTTGCATGATTTGGAATAGGGCTAGGGGGCCATTGTATTGATTCAAAACTGAGAGTATCAGGGGGCCACTGAGTGCGTGCGCGGGTCCCAGCCCTGTCTGCGGGCGCTGCCTTCCAGCACAGTCCCTGATGTGTATCGGTTTAGCGAGCTGCACAGAGTGCGAGTAGGGAGGAAGATTGTAATTAAGTATCCATGTAGGCTGAACCCGCCATTTTATTAAGCTCTGCTGGAGTAGGTCCTTGTAAGGGATATGGCAGGAGGCAGAGAGAGCATGAAATGGCAGCCGACTAGCAGTAATGCGGCCATATGCACCCCGTAGGAAGCCACTGTGTGCGCGGCTTCTGAATGAGCCCGGCCCCTCCGCGGAGCTCGGAAGGATGCCGTTTACAGGGAAAGCTGCTTTGCTGCCTGTTAACTTTTGTGTTGGCTAAATGTCGAAGTGGTGTGGGGAAAGCGTCAGTCTGTTCATGGCTAGCACAGGGATCGCGCGTCACGTAACTCCAGCGCCCCAGTGCAGGCAGCGCTGCAACACTCCGCCTGCGACGGGCATGTCGGCGGGCGGGCGAGGCGAGGCGAGGCGAGGCGCGCCGCTCGCCACAGCGGGGCGCTAGTAACCAGCCTGAATAGAGCCCGTTTGTTCAGGGCTTGTGCCGCGTACTGAAAAGCGAAGCGCTCATTTTATCGCCTATTCATTAACTGGTGTAGCAGCTCGCGAGCTAATGGCCGGGCCCCTGTCTCCCCTGCAGGCGATGGAACATGCAAATGGCATGGAACTGGACGGCAGGAGGATCCGCGTGGATTACTCCATCACCAAGAGAGCGCACACCCCCACCCCGGGCATCTACATGGGCAGGCCAACCCAGTAAGGAATTTACTCTTCATTCTGTGTAAACGGACCTCAGATCAAGTTAAACTAAATGTTATAACTCTGATTGAACTGTAGACACTACCAGCTGCATATTTTTTTGTGAGGGTTTCAGTCGTCTGCCTTTTTAAAGCTGTTCCTTATCTCTAATGTATTTGCATGCAGTGGGGGTGGGTTTGTTGCGGTTGATCTTGAGGTACACTATTAAACCCTGTTTTAGTATGGTAATTTTACTTAAGGTGAACGTCTTTTAAAGCCCAAGAGCTTACTGAGTGAAGAATATATTAAAAATAAACAAGATGGGGGGGGGGAGGAAATGTTCCAGGGCTCTTTAATGTCTAAACCCCACCCCACTCTGGTTAATTAATGCACTTAGTGGTTTTCTTTAAATGTGGAGTCTACTGAGTCTGAGACACAAAGTGTACAGTGAGTAGTTGTCACTTGAGGACGCTGAAGATAATTTTAGAGAACTTAAAATTCACAAGAAAGAATGCAGACTTTTATGCTTCCATTTTATTCCTCTTTTTTTTTTTTTTTTAAATAGCAGTGGAGGAGGAGGTGGTGGTGGTGGAGGAGGAGGAGGAGCAGGTCGTCGTCGTGATTCCTATTATGATAGGGGATATGATAGAGGATATGACAGATATGAAGAATATGACTACCGGTACAGGTAACCAGTTTGATTAATTATTTGATTATTTCATTTTAATTTTTTTAATAAAGGTAGTTGCTGTGGGGAGACTTGCAACTCTCGTACATATCTGGTGTCCTTACATGTCAAGTGACCGCTAGGAGAGACATCAGCAAAAGCAAGCCTTGTAGTCTTACTAATACAGTTACGTCAACTAAATAACATATTCAGCAGTCCACGTACTCCTTTCTAGAGGAATAAGGGGCAAGAAAGGGAAATAATGTCAGTAGGGAACTGGAGGAAAGGCTAATGTAATAGAAAGGTGAGGTTTCAGAATCGGGAGGAGGAGAAAAAAGATCTCTGAACCCAAGCTAATAAGAATGGATGTAAATAGGCAGGGGTGCAAATAAAATTAAAATAGGGAAATATTAAAACAAAATGGAAAATGTGTCATATTGAAAATAAAAGCCACTAAAGGGATGGTTAAGCATGAGGTCAGATCCATTTAAAAATCTTTCTCCTTTGTCAAAGTTGTCTAGTTAAACTAAATTCTTTGGGGGAAAGGACTTGTTTCTACATGTCTTCAGAAGTGCTGTGCACACTTTGGAGCACCATATAGGATAATAAATATATTCTAAATAAACTCATAAGTTTTTAAATACAATACTTGAAATAGAGAAGCTAGGAGCTCCTTAAATATTTCATTGTGAGTCTCTGCCAAATCAGATTTAAATCAACCATAAAGTCCAATCTTCCACCATCAAGGGAACAACTGCATCACATAGAAATGATTGTATAAAGACACTTTCATAACAAAGCAAAAACTTTATATTCTCTTTAAAGGAGACGATCACCTTCACCTTATTATAGCCGATATCGATCACGGTCAAGATCCCGCTCCTATAGCCCAAGTAAGTATATGTAAATAGTTCATATTAAACCATGCTAGTGCATCTAGACTTGATTGTTAGTTTTAATGGAAAATAGACTCGTGATGAATGAGAAATCTTGAATGTGGCAACAGAAAATTCGCCTTGGTGTAAGTTTTGCTATTGCAAGTTTGAATGTTTAAATATTCATGATTTTTATAGTAATATTGTTATCTTTTTCCAGGACGCTACTGAAGAACGGAAGAATTACAGTTGTGGACCTGATTTTTAAATAAAGTTCTGCCCTTAGTTTCCCTTTGGTCTCCCCCTCCTTTCCCCTCAAATCTCTCTTATAAGACCTTTGGTTCATTTAGAAGATACATATTTTCAGTTGAAGTATTGCTGTTTTCCACCCCCTTTTATTGTAATACTCTTAAAATCGTAATTGTTGTAGTTTTGTGTAGTTAAACATCTTAAGCAAAACTAAATAGAAATCCCAAAGTGTTATTACATTTTGTAAGTCATTCTGTTTTTGTTTTTAAAACAATTGTACTCCTGGCTAATCTAATGAGGAGAAGAGAGCATTGATGTTTTTTAAAGCTTGCATGTTGTGTGTAATATACACACTCAGCTACTTTAATATAAACCTGTGTTTCCAAAAAAAACTTGTTAATCTTTCTGTTAATGCTTGGTTGTTAATTTTGAAAAATAAGCAACATCTCTGAACCTTTTCTGTAATGGCAAATTTCACTAGATAGTCATGAACCTGATGGGTTTTTTTGGTTAAATTGCTTTGAGTGTAGAAATATTAGAGCTATAGCAAATTTTCATATTTGGCTTAACTTCTTTGGAAAAACAGATTCTTATACACTGAAGATCAAGATTGTGTTTTATAGATGAAAAGTTTCTAGACTGCTACACAATGGATAACATTTGAAGTTAAAACCATACAAATCTAACTGATTTTTTTTAATTGAACTCAAAGTAGTGTTTCCCCTTAATCAGTGCAGGAGAAAAAATATTTATTGAACATAGCAATTAGTTATATAATTTGCTGTTCATACAAACTCATGTTGGTATTGCAATGATGGTTAAGGAAGTTCTAGTTTCCAGTCCTTTTGAAATTGCTGGTATGGATAGAAAAATTACAGTTACATATAAACCTCTTCTTCCTCAAAATAAAGTTAATTTCACTGAAATGGATTTTCATGTCTTTTATTCTGCATTTACATGTCATCTGGATAATAAAAAGGTACTACTATTACTATGGGCTAAATTCTAACCAGTGAGTTAGAGATGGAGAAGATCCATATTCCAAGAATCTCCTGAATCATCCAGCTCTCATGACTAGATTTAGATTATACTTTATTTATATTGACTTAGTATTTTTTGCTAATTTTTTCACAATCAACTAATTAAACTTAACTATTACTACTTAACTGTGGAAGTTAATTTACTTGATTTTCTTTTTGCATTTCATTCAGTTTTAGATTTGTAAAACATATGCACAGATGGAGCTCTGGTCACATGCAGAAAGGTTTACCAATTTGAAGTAAGTGTCTCCAAAGAAACCATCCGAAAATCATTGACAAAATTTAGAAAATTAAAATAGTTTCCCTCATTTACATGAGCTTGTGCATTAGCAAAGTTTTGGACACAACAGTATGGAGGAGGAATGTTTAAAATATTTTTATTGCATTTTTAACTAAATTTTTTAGGGTTTTGACTCTTCTATATTTTGAGCTAAAATTAGCTCTCCTTTTAATTCCCAAGCCATCAAATCTTCCCACCATAATAGTTATTTGTATGTGTATAGTGCCTTAACTGAGACTCTCAAAGGAATTTTTAAAAAACGAAATTAAGCCTAACACTGCTGTGAAGAAATTAAGTAAATTACATTAAGTAGTTCTTTGCTAGGCAAATGACCATTTTATTGATGCAATGGGAGGGGAGGGGGCAGGAGGGAGGGTGCCCACAGGAAAATGAAGTAGAGATTAGTGTTTAGTGACACCTAGGAAAATGAAGTAGAGATTAGTGTTTAGTGACACCTGTGAAACACTCATTGCACTTGCATTGGTGTAACAATGGAATAACTCTTATGCACAAGGAATCAAATCCATATCCAATAGCTACAGGGCTATTAATTCTACAGGGCTAACAGGAGGAAAGCTGTAAAAAGTATTGTTACTAAAGTAAGCAGACCTAACATTAATCAGGGATTGGATGTTTTCAATGAGCTTTAGTTGTAAGTTTTTTCTGAGCATAATGTTTATGCATTACCAGTCCTAGCATGAGGAGGCCTTGATCAGTGGCTTTGGGGCTGGACCACAATAGACATAGAAGGTGCCATTTTTATGTAGACACCTAACGTAGTCTGAAAAGGTTTCATTAGTGTATTTTGTACTGGTTGTGAAAAATGTTTTGCAAATGGCAGAGTCCAAAACAACCTGTAATTACCCAGGATAGCATAAATATGTGTTAAACCAATGTAGATTCTTTCAGTACTTCCTGGGAAAAGCAAGTGACAGTTTATTTGTAATAAGTTATACAGAAATTCTCAGAAAATTGGTGGTAGTTGGGCCTAAAAAGTGTTTGCTATGAGAGGAAATAGCTTTACTGAAGCTACCATTTTACCATATATGGTATGCCCATACTTTGTTCTTGAAAACTTGACTTTTCAATCTCCTGTCTCACTATATGTGAAGCATGTAAGTGATATAAGTTGCTTAAACTTGTTAATTTTAACAGAAGCAACGTGAGTTATGAAGCAGTCTTGATGCATTCAGCTGTTTAACACTTTCAAAAATACTTTGGCTTGGACCTTCTGTTTCTGGGTTTCACCAAAGAGAATGGCTGGGTATGTCTATCTCCCCTCTTCTGGTTCTTAGTAAAATGTTATATGAATAACAAAGGGGATCAGCACCTCAAATATTTTTGCTTCCTGGCACCACTAGTCTGCAATACTGGTTTGTTGCCTTGCTGCAGAGGAAACTCAAACTGTTGCTTAACCATCTACTCCGCTTGGTCACAGCACCATCTTGTGTTATCTTGAAGTTCTCCACTGACATGGTAGGAGTCAACTTCTCTGGAACTAACATTTTCTGGACAACTGATGGGAACAAAAACAAGTGAAACCCATTCTTCTCCCTTGCTCCCTATAAGGGGTAGCATTTTTTATTTGTTAGGCAAATGACCTAAGCACAGACCCTCCTGGAGTGCCTTCTGTCAGGCATGCTGTCCTCTATCTGCAAAGTCCTCCCCAGGCTGCATCAGAAAGGGGGGAGGGGCTATATCTGTCTTAAGCTGGCAAAAGGGCTCAAAGGCTAGAGAGGAGCCTTTTCCCTTCCCTTCCCCCCCATTTTCCACACAGCACAGAGAGTGTTCAGGGTGGCCTCTGCCCAGAAAAAGATACATAAAGGACTCTAGCTCTCATTCAGGGGCACCCAAGGAACACTCAGTGCAAAACCCTTCTCATGTACCAAACAGATTACTTGAAAAGGACCTAGGATACTTAGTATCAGAGGGGTAGCCGTGTTAGTCTGAATCTGTAAAAAGCAACAGAGGGTCCTGTGGCACCTTTAAGACTAACAGAAGTATTGGGAGCATAAGCTTTCGTGGGTAAGAACCTCACTAGGTCTCTCCTAAAGTACTTAAATGGGAGCTAACTGACTTAGGGAAGCAGACTGGTATCTTTCAGATCCCAGGACTCCCTAGTGGTTCTTCCTCTCCCCAAAGGAACACTGCCCAGTGACTCTATTGGATTGGTCTGCCCCCAGTTGAGGACGTACAACATACAGTTGCCCCACCTAAGAGCAATTAAGGGAACCATGTCTGAACAGCACAAGATACCACTCTCCCACTGCTACACAAGCTTCTTTAGACAGCAATAGTTGCTGAAACACACTAAAAGGCCTTGGGTACTGAAAAAGCCAGAAGTGGTAGTTCTTATACACACATACACCCTGCCCTTGCACAGGGCAAGTTACCTATATCAGACATGACCAAATCAGAACCAAATTCTTTCCATCTACCTATTTTGATGCCACATTAGCGATAGAGGAAGAAGGCCTCAAAACCTATTCAAGCTAGGATGGTTGCAGATTTTTCCTCCACAACTTTATGAATATCAGAAGATCTAAATGAACACTTAGAAAAACATGAAGGCTGAACAAAAACACATTTTAGAAGTTGTGTAAGTTGCAGGTGCTTAAGGTTGATACAGCTGTGGCCTTGCTGACTAAAGACATCATGATCAGCTTGGGCAAGGGAGTCTTTTTACCAAAGGATCCCTTAGAACACTAGAAGCTACCCTCTGCAGAATGATTGCATCCTAGCCACTTGGTTGGAGGCTATTGTGGCTGTATCATGGATGGTTGATAGTCATTCCCAATAGATACTCTGCACATATAAATGAACAGACATTCCTCTTTGGGGAAAACATTAAAAATGGTGACAGCTAAAAAATAAGGAAAATCGAAAGTCATATTACTAAAGCCTACAAAGTTATATAAAAGGCTACAAAGTTACAAATTTTCCCATACCAAAGTAATCCCTGTGGAAGGGTAGGCACTTAAGCTTTCTGTCTTTAAGTATAGTATAAAGGAGGATTACAGTGCTTCTTAGGGGATGTTTTCCAACCTTCAGCATTTCAGACCCTGCCACAACAGAGAGCCAGAATAGTTGTGAATGTTGGGCACAGAAAAGGAGTGGTGGCATGATCAACCCATCTCGTGATCCAGGAGATTAAGAACTAGGGTGCACATCCTCTGTACAAAATCCCAACCGCCCCAATTTGTCAGCTGCTGAAATTTCTGGGCCTAATGCATGCAGACAATTCAGTTAGCTGTCCTGCATCAGACCTGTAATCCATCCTAATACAGTGGCTTGCCAAGAAGAATCCATGGCACAAGGTAACGCTCTGCACAAGTAACTATAATCCTTGAGATGGTGGAGCAAGCTAGTTTTATCCCAAGGGAAAGTACTGACGAGATGCTCCCCACAAAGATAACTGTAGATGCATCAGTGTTGGGATGAGGCACTTTCATGAGTCTTCACACATCATGGTAAATGGACCAGGAAGAAACATAGCAAGATTAAAAATTGGAGTCAAGGCAGTGCTGTTGGAGACCCTTAACCCTCAAATTAAATTTAGCTTCATCCTGCTTCAGAGCAACAGCTCAGCCAGCTATTCCATCAAATTTTACTTTCTGCAAACCCTCAGTGTGTGGGAAACCTGTCTTGGATACACATATCCAGTACAAGGTCAGCCTTCAAGTTGACTAGTTAAGTTACCAAACTCTCTCCACAAGGGAATTTGAGTTGAAATATACAGTACTGATCAAGATCTATGAGAAATGAGGGGGGAGGGGCTCAGATCAACTTATTTGTCTCAACCAATCAGACTGCATTTTTCTTGATCGAGGCTCTAGGATATAGAGACTACAGAGAGTTGTATTCTCACTCAAATAGACTATTTGATGTACGTCTCTTGTTGGCTTGAGTAGCTAAGAAGAGCAGGCTGAGCCCATGGAATTCTTATTGCCTTGTATTATTCTTACAGCACCATGTGTTGTGATTTTGTTGCTTCCTGGAGATATCTGTATGCTCACCTTGGATAGCCCCAATCCCCAGATAACTTCTGAGGTGGGCCCTATCTTATGTCAAAAACCCGCTACTCCATGGAGTTTGGTTCACACCTTCACAAATCACTATTCTCACAAAGAACAAGGGCAGGGCTTTAGCTAATGTTCAACAAGTGGTGGTCTCAGCCCACCTCCTGACGACTGTCACTGCTAGCTAGTTCTCTATGGCATAGTGCTGTTGAGGCAATGTTATGAAAGCAAAAAAGGGTAGTCTACCACACCAACCGTTCTTTAACAGCATCACCTCCACAGATCCACACTGGCCCTCCTCTTTGCTTCACTCTTAAAGCCCTAAAGCTCCTGGAGGAAAAGAAGGACTGAAGGCTGGTTGGAGGGTGTGTAGGATATATCTGTGGTCAAGGCACTATTAAGCTTTAGGAATTTGTGAGTGCCTAACTGCCCATCGAGTTACAAAAGGTTTGTGAGACCAGGCATGCAATCCTATAGCATGGTTCTGTGGAGGCAATACATACAGAGAACAAGAGCTACTCTGGTAAGTAAATGGATTAAAATCTGGCTACCTGATAGATCTCAAAATGTAATTGTAAATGGGGAAT